ACCAATATTTATAAATATCTAAACTGTGGGAGTCAAATGGATGGGCCAGGTTCTATTTAGCAATGCCCAGCAAAAGAATAAAGGGCAATGGACACAAACTGGACCACAGGAAGTTCCATCTGAACTTGAGGAAAAAATTCTTTACTTTGAGGGTGACAGAGCACACTTCTCAGAGAGGTCACAGTCTCCTTCTCTGGAAATATTCAAAACAGAGGGGATGGACTAAATGATCTCCAGCCCCTACAATTCTGTGATTCTTTGACTCTATCAGATCAGAAGCACTTTGCCTGCAGAGCTGAGAAACAACTGCAAAATCCGACTGCCTGTTTGGTCCAACCAGATCATAGCCCCAGGTCGGGACCGCCTAGCAAAGCATGTGGTGTGGCCCAACATTTTACTTGTGCAAAGCACGCAGGTGATTTTTGTTCTCTAAAGCATTCATTACTGTCATATGCAAGCAGTGTGTGTAAAAATATCACTGTATTTTTTATTCAGGGTCTGCAAATTTCTTTAGGTGAAATTGGTGAATGTAAACAACATCACATAAATAATCAGTCTTTGCTAGCACCACAGAGTTAAATGCAATGTTTTTGAAAGGGAATAAATGACTGAGGGCTCCTTTTCCTTTGGACAGTATTCCAAATAGCTAATTTGCAATGATGAACCTGATACAATTCTTTGAGGACAACCCTGCTCCAGAAGATAGACTCATTTTTCTGAATTAGCTTAATTCAACCTGGACAATCCCACTTTCAGAATAGCTTCAGTCCAGCTGGAACTCCACAGGCTTTGTCCTTGTCAAAGTAACATTGCAGCTGCTAGTTCACTGATGTTTCTCAAATTTCTAGCCAAGGTAAAGCAATCTACAAAGTGGGATAGGCTGTAATTATGCACTGCATCACACAGCTGAAAGTAAGCTGGTCTGCGAAACTGTCTTCAAAGAGTTTTGGAGACATTAGTTCCCCAACTTCACCAACTCTAAATACTACTTTGACTTATGAAGAAGTTGAGAAAGACAGGTGAAGTGACTTCCCTGAGGTGTACCAAGATTTCATATTTTATGGAGTGCAAGATTATGGAAACTCTTCCGATCATACCTGCATTCAAACAAGTACAGATGAGTCTGGAGAGCTCTGGGAAGCAGCTCCCACCACCAGTTCCTAGAGCAGCAGTCAAGGCTCGGCATGCTGCACTAGTGTGATGGTGGTATGGCCAAGTGGGAAGTCCCCTGCCCCCTTCCCCACCCTGCAGCTTGCCTCTGGCTCTCACCCATGTAAGTAAGTGCTCTCCAGAGGACTCCCACTGAAGGGAGAGGAAAAAGAAGCCAGTCCTCCTCACACAGGCATGAATATCTCACAATATTTCTAAATAAATACTAAATAATGGAAGAAGGAAGTTTTCCCAGTAGAAGCAGTAGATATATATGAATGCATCTATTACCATACATACTGTATCTATTGAATATGGAATAGGTCTGGAATGTTTTCTCCACTAGAGTAGCCTCACTATGATCCGGAAAAAAAAAAACACTCATGTTTAAGTAGGAGATGAAATATGGTTCCTGTGACTGTAAAAATTACTTTACAAGAAGTTACTGCACACATTACAACCCTATAAAAATTACCCCAAACCATAAAACTCTGATTCTGCATGTCTGCTTGGCTTTACTGCTGGCATCACTGCCATAACAAGCATCCCATCTTTGCGCTCTTTGCCTTTCCATCACTACCTACTCCTTCACCTTATTCCCCTTAACTTCCCCATTTTCACACAGCAAGAGGACAGAAGCACCTTCCACTGGAGATTTATCCACAGCAGAACCTGGGCAGCATCAGCCTTATCTGGGCAGTCTGTGCTGGCTTGCTCAGAAAGAAAAACTTTCTGGATTTTATTTGCCCCAGCAGCAAGCTCAGGATTACAAACTCTGGGTTTCTTGGTCCGATTGGTTTAGTCAGCACTCAGCTCTCAGTTTTTGCCTGAAGCAGAAGAGGGCGGGGAGTGGGGGAAGGAATTGAAGACAATTCTAGTGAAAAAATCTAAGCTATTTTAATCCAATGCAAATTCTGTGAGCTGTAATGAAACTGCATTGTTCCACTATGTTGCTGCGGGTTGCTAGTTAACATGCGACCTGCGAGCTGATGCACACTGATCTTCTGCGGTTTGTGGAAACGCAGGTTCGGAAGAAGCTGTGATATAAAGCCTGATTTGCAGCTCATCACCAATTTCTCTTGATCTATCAGTGCCAAGAATTTTTACAGCACTTCTGTTTGCAGGTGATGGAAAGGTATTACGGAGGAAGAAATTGTCCTTTCCCACAGCAGGCACTGTGTTTCCCCTTGCAAGCCCTACCATTAGGCCACAGAAGGCAGCAGTCTCTGCGCTGAGAGGCAGCAGAGGGGATGTCTCTGGGCAGCCATACTGCTGTGACACAAAGCCTGATGGCAGAAGAGAGGCTGCAGGTCCTTGGCAGAGATTGCCTGCTGTGACTAAGCAGTAGTCCACAGAAAGTCTCAGCACTGTGACTGCAGCTTGGACTTGCTCCACCTCAAAGCACAACACCACCAGCCCCATGCAGGGCAGGGCCTGCCATGGTACTGTGCTTTCCCTCTCCCTAAACCCATTTTGATGTACTGGGTACAACACCTCTCTCCAAAGCAGATACCTGCATGGCACGCCCAGACAAAGCTGCTGCCAAGAAACAAGAACCGACAGTGCATTTAAATATAGCACAACCAGGACTGGCGAGAGGGGCAAACTCTTCTGGTGTGTCCTGACTTCCTTGATCAGCAAGATCTCACACTCAGTACTGCACAGAGCACAGCAGCACAGGCAATCTGTTCATGCTAGCTCTTTGTTGGGGTGTGCTATTGCATCAGAAATAAAGGCTCTCCCCTTCGTCCCTGCAGCACAACCTGCTCACTATCTGTATCTCGTCACAGCTCCAGGGAGCTGCTAGTGCAGACATGGAGATGCCCACTTGGTTTGCAGGGCAGTACCAGGTGTCTCAAGTCTCACGCCACCAAACCGTGGGGACACATGGCACAGCCACCAGTGCATGGGGAAAGGCAGCCCCAGCAGAAAGCCAGCCTGGGCAGGGTTCACACACAGTAGTGGCACAGCTGCTCACAGATACCTCGCTCACACCAAGCAGCACCTCCCCTCCCTGCTGACTCCTCCCTGAGTACCACCACCATCAGGACACAGGAAGCATCTCTGACATTCAAACAGCACGTATTTCTGAGCAGGTACCCAGCCTCTTCTGTTATCATACAGTTTCAGCGCTCACTGTGCTGCTGACAGCAGACAGCCAATTCATAATCCGAGTATGAATACACAGCAATGGGTGAGAGGGATGAGAGATATTTTAAAATCTTATTATAATTGCTTAAAACTGAAATACCTTTAAAAATGTGTCTATAGTTCTCCACTATTTTTCTTTCCGTGACCTCCAGACAATTATAAAACATGAGTGAAACTTTCCATGCAGTGACACAGTCCTCAGGACTCAGAGGCTTAGACTCATCTTTCAGTGTCACTTCATTCTTTATTCATTGAATCTCTGCTCAGTGGCTCATTCAAGATCATATGTTTGAATGTTTGCGATTTTCTTTTTTACCAAACAGTAATAAAATTCAAATGTATAAGAACACAACCAAGGACCGTTTTTCCTTGCCCAAAATGCATGTGCACAAACACACATGCAAACAGAAACAAACACAAACAACTTTTTGCACTGAAGTGAATAAATTGAGTATTTCAGCAAATCTGCATCAACCATCAGCAGTACAGTCATGTGGATAAAAATAACATATATATGAATTTTAATAATTGTAAATATATTTTTGCATATAATGTATATATACAATTGTTTATATATGTATATGAATGTATATATATGAATTGTATCAATTGTGTGTGTATATATATATATATATATATATTTTTTTTTTTTTTGAGTAAAATAAACCAAATCCACTTTGAATGAGAATATCCAGATGGACTCAAGGACCTACATGCAGCCAGATCTTTTGCAACGAGTCCTTGCCTGTCACAACAGAGTGGCTGAACCATCTGCAGGAAGCACTGCTTGCTATCAGCCTGCAAAGAAAATCTAACAGCAAGGTGAATACAAGCTAGTCTGGCCTTTCGCTGAAGCACATATCCATGGAATGCACCAAGGCAGAGCCCAGCTAGCTCTCACCCATTCAGGGTGTCAGCAAGCCAGGCTGCCTGTGCCTTCTTGGCAAGCACGGGGCAGCCCGGGGGTGGCAGGACATGGTGCAGGAGCTCACCTGTTCCAGGTAGCGTTGGAGCAGGCCCGTCGCTGCTGGGTCCCCCGCTCATCCAAGGCTGCCTGCTCTCTCTTGCCCAGATCACTGAGGCTGGGCGAACTCATGAACTTCAACCTGCGAAGAGTCCTCATGGTCAAATGTGTGTTTGCGCGTGGCCGCTACAGATACACCATCCTGTTTACACACACACACGCGCAGCTGGAGCAGCAGCAGCAGCAGCAATGCGAGCAGTTCCCTCCGTTTGCTGTTCAAAAAAGAAACTTAAAAAAAAAAGAAGAGAGAACCAGTCTCTACGGAGCACACCTCTGCCAGCAAGAAAACAAACCTTTAATCAGATCAACTCTGACGTCATGAATTGTGGTTAATAATTTCTCCAGTCCTTTTAAAAAACAAAAGCCGAGCTCCCGGCTGCGGCTCAGGCGCTTTGAAGGGGCCCCTATAGCCCACAGCCCCCGGCACAGGGCTGCTCCCACCCCAGAGCCAGGGCCCAGAGCCCTGGGGCGCTCCACCTGCCCCGGGACCTGCGTTCCCCTGGGGCCCAGCCCTGCTAGCTCTGCTGAGCCCGCCTCTCTGAGATCGTGATGGAAATGAAACTGGAGGCAACAGACACACACACACAAGAAAAAAAAAAAAAAAGTAAAAAAAAAACAACACCCAAGCGACCAATACTGACGCGCAGAGAGTTTATTGGAAAGTTTCATAACTGCCTGTGCCCTGCCATGTTACAACACTGCACTCATGTGCTCTCGCTGCCTCACTCATACAGACATACACACAGTACCGCGGCACCAAGAGCGCTCACACACAGAACAGCGGCAGGACGGAAACTGGAAGTGTGGTTTTGCCCTTTTGAGGAGGTTTTGGTGAGTCTGATGGCTGGTCTTTCTGTCTCTTTGTAGAATAATGTAGCAACTGCATGACTTGGGGCATAGCAAGCTCCTTTAGAAGCCCTAAGTGCCTTATGTTCAAAGGAGAAATCTGTCAGAGCACTGGGGCTGAGGCTATGCTGCTACAAGGTCCCACCTCGCTCAGTTTGCTGCTGCTCACTCCAGGTTCTGCTCTGTGCCCAGGACAGCTTCACTCCCCAGTGGGGAAGGAGCTAACAGGACCACGACAGCTCCCTCAGAAAGTATGCAGGCTGCAGCAAGAGTGAGCTGCAGTGCAACGACCACTCCTGTCACTGCAAAGCATCTGGTCAGAGCTGTGAGGGCTCAGCCTGGCAGATAAGAGGGCTGCAGTACAGAAGGACTTGTCTTCTCCTTTTCTGTTTTCATCTGTGATAACTTACTGTCTAGATCCAGGCTACAAGCAGATTTTTTGTGCTCAAATAGTATCTCAAGGATGATATTACAGGAGAACTGATTTGTTTTTTCAACCATGAGATCTGCCCTCTCTGCATCAGTTGTTGAAATATCTCAATAATAGCTAATTTCTTTCGCTACTCACCAAAACTCAGCCAAGCTTCTTGCGTATCAATATCTACTTCCCAAAATTATATTTGGTAGCACCTTTGTGGGAAGTAGTAGCTGAATTGCACAGGAAAAAAAAATACATATATTTTTTACCTTGCACTAGTTTTAGTAGTAGTAATAGTATCCACTGTTTGGGTCAGTGCTAATACTCATTGCCCTTTCCAATCCAAAAATCTGAGTACACAAACAAGCACTGCAGCAGACAATACGTAACTTTGCATTTTGGAAGGGACCTACAGCTCCAAATCTGACTTATGGACAAAGGCACTGCTATTCCTGGTCTCTTCCAGATGTGTGAATCCCTCAGACAAACAACAATCTACTGTGTACACAGCTACTAAGGGAAACAAACACAACAATACACTGCTGTATTCTGAGGAATGAGACAAATCAGCCACCAAAAGTAGACACAGCAGAACAGTGCTTTGTTCACAGAGGATGAAGGACATCCAATTTCTGTGGACAACACAGCCAGTGAGACTAGCCTGGAGGTGAAGCTTCCGATAAAAGTGCACCTACCCCTTTAAGGGACACAAGTTAGACAAACCTCTGGCAATAGGATTCCATCTAATTTCATTTTCCACCTAGCTTGGTTGCTTTTGTGTTGCTCACGTGCTGTCAATTCGACAGGCCTTGCAAATGTTATTATCCTGAATTAAACCTCTGCATTTTTTTTAACTCTTTCTTTCCTTGGCAATACTGAAGATTTTGTGTATTGCATCCTAACGATGCCAGCACGCCAGCAGCTACATAATAATATTTCATCTGCCTTTTTTTCCTCTCAAAATCCTCCACTTCATAAATTGATCAAATCCAAAGAGCTGTTATGCTGGATGCGCCAGCCAGCACTGCAAAGAGCAGTGCTTGGCTTCCTCATAAAGCACCAAGTCCCAAGAGAAGAAAAATCATAGAATCATCATAGAATTATAGAATGGCCTGGGTTAAAAAGGACCTCAAAGACCATCTAGTTTCAACCCCCCTGCTATGTGCACGGTCACCATTCAACAGACGGGGCTGCCAGAGCCACATCCAGCCTTGAATGCCTCCAGCGATGGGACATCCACAGCCTCCTTGGGCAACCTGTTCCAGTGTGTCACCACCCTCTGTGTGAAAAACTTCCTTCTAATATCTAACCTAAACCTCCTTTCTCTTAGTTTAAAACCATTCCTCCTTGTCCTGTCAAAAAAAATCTTTTTTCCCTCTGTATGTTGAAACATACACAGCAGTCAGACTGTTTTCATGCCACCCCATCCTTAGCCAGCACTGGACTCAGCATCTAGCAGGCACACAGCACAAGGGAAAAGCAGCATTCCAGTTTCCTGAAACATTTCTGACAAAGGTAGAAGAGGGCAGGCTTGGTCTATGCTTCCTGCTCCTTCCTATGACTCCACCTGATCAAATGTTGACTTATGATAAAACGAATCACTCTCAACAAGGGTTACCTCACCCGTAATTACAAAGCACTACTTCACATTTACATTTTGCTGTACGTCCTGGCACATCATGGACTTCACGGCATTCATTAATTCAGCCTGAAGAGCTCTGGGGTACTAAAGCAGAACGCAGGATCCGCACTTTGGTATTCCCAGTGAAGAGGAAAAAGGTGAGGTGCAAGACTACCCAGAGAGCAGGCAGCAGAGATGCCAAGGGAGCCTGGTGCTTGAAGTGCTTGTTCCAGCACATTTCCCAGGGGATGCTGCAGGGCCAGGGCGGCCAGAGTGTGATGCAGTACTCTTCAATGGGGCCTGTAGGCAGCTGCTCCTCTGGAGTCACAGGTGAAGTAATCACAGCACAGTGACTGAGGGGATGAATGGCAGAGAGCACTCACTAATGTCCCCCAAGAGGGCTGAGAGCCCTAACCAGGGTGGCTGGGAGGGGGAGGCTGGCAGGCAGAGGCCCTCCATGGGCTCGGTAACAAGCTTCTTAAACAGAACAACTTGGCTCAGCACACTTGTAGAGCCGAGGCTCTAAAGCACTATTCCATTAATTTGGTTAATCTCTGTACACAGTACCCTGTGCTAATGTCATTCTACTTGCAAGAAGCTTGTGGCACAAAGGTTAAGTGATTTCATCAAAGTCCCACAGCTACCTCAGTGCAGCAGAAGACCCAGTGCCAGCACCTGCTCCCACCCTTCCAGCATCTCCCCATCAAACCAGGCCTGTTTCTACTCAGAACTGCTTTCTTTCATATGGGGTCCCACATCCCATGGGTGACTGTGGTACATCCCTCAGTTTCCACAGAGCCTGAGATGAAGTCAGGCATCCTGCAGGGCAACACTGCTTGCCTGGAATTGCCTGCAGGCCTCAAACAACACCAGTATATATTGTGTACGTATAATGACCCTGCATAACTCTGCAGTTACTGCTGATGTGCCTGTAACGCCTGCACTAATCCTTTGGGAGCTGGGGCCTTGAAACTGTCAGCAAAATTCCAGGCAGACCTCCTCCTAACAGTTTCAAAAAATGAGATTTGCCTAAAAAAAAAGAAAAAAAAAACCCTACATTGTATTTACTTAACATTATACCAGTTTCTACGATACAATCTTGCTGGCTTCTCACAAGTTTCCTATGGACTGCTATGAGATGGGAAAGAAAAACAAAAAATAATGTTCATGAGCAGGGACCCTAGGAAATTCACAATATATGAAATCCTTAATAAAGCTGCCAATGCTGTTACCACTGTGGGTCAGCTGTTCTGCTGACAGGTTAGCACTGCGGAAGGAATGGTGCAAGCGTGGGGACATAATGAGGAAGAGAATCTGCCATGTCAGCTTTATTCAGCACAGCCTTGGCATGTAAAAAGCGACTGAATAAATACAAATTTTAACTGGAGAAAAAAATATATATGTATATTTATATGTATATGCATATATATCCCCTTCCCTTTTGGGGAAGAGAACAGAAATCTTTACAGAAATGCTGAACAGTGCATGCTCTGCAAGCAAAGAACAAAGAGGAAAAGCACACCCATGGCAGCAAGGAGTTAAAAAGCTCCCCACTGCAGTTTTTCATAAAGCACACCACAAAAGTTGGGGCATGCCTAAGCACATGCCAAAGCTCAGGAATTAGTCTTTGGAAAAACCACTCTTCTTAAAGGCGCAGCATGGAAGGGCAGAGGGAGATGAGGCTGTCAGGAAAAGGACGAAGAGTGGAAGGGAAAACGAACCTTATGACTCATCAGTTCCTTTGCTACAATAGCCACATAAAGCTCCTCTATCGTCAGAAAACAAAGAATAAAGAGAATAAAGACAGTATAAAACTACATAGGGTCTATTTACACCCCACCCCCTCCATCCCACTCATTTTGCAGCCCCTGGAGATAAAGGAACTCTCAAGGGCAGTTTCTACCTGGCATTTTTGAGACTGGTCATAGGACATCATCGGCTTTGCTGGCCGTTTCTTTTACCTCTGCCCTCGTCACAGCTGAGCACTGATTTATAGGGCACAACTGACTTTACTGGGCCCCCTAAGCCTCTGAAAGACTTCCTGTGCCCTCCTGAACTGCTGCGACCACCAGTGCTGCCTGTCAGAGAGCGCTGGCGTTTCTGCTCTATCAGCTGCACGTGGGGCATGCACATACAAGGTTTCTTTGTACTTTACACTGATAGAAAGAAGAAATGCTGGACAACAGTATCTCCTTCCTAAGCAAGCAGAAGAAGGAAGAACCTTTCTGGATTCTGCTAGAAAGAGGTGACCTGTCCCCCTTGTGACTTCTGCAGCAACACCTCCAAGCACAGTTCATCCTGCAGAACTTCAGACCCTACCCACAGGCACCGCCTGCCTTGGAGATACACCAACTTACTCCAGCTAAGGACAACCATAATCACTACAAACCACAGCAGATCAGGGCCAGCTTCCTAAGCATTCCCTTCACAGTTTGAGCAGCTAGAATGATCTTAGGAGACTTTCTTAGCAGAAACAGAGACCTGCATTGTGAGCAAAGGACCACCTGAACTACAGCAAACATCGATGTCCTCCCATATCTACTGGACATTTCTTAACTTGCTCATTGACTGTGCCTACCTTTTTCCCTTCCTGTTTCTCCATCATCCTTTGTCGTCATGGTTCCTGCTTTCTTGGTTAGCTAACTCTTCAGGAAAAGTTTTAATACAGACAGGGGGAAAAAAAAGGGAGACTGAAATGGTGCTACTAACACAGTCCTTGCAAATGAGTCTTCAGCTGTCTCATGAATCTAGCAACACTTAGATAAACACCTTTGCTTTAAAGCATCCATGAAATCTCTTCCCCTTTGACAGCAGAATTTTTCAGTTTACTAAGCACAACAACATAATCAGTTCTTAAAATACAGAAGATAGCTACATCTTCTATCCTAGTCCTTCAGGAGATTGAAATTAGGAGACAATTGGAATAGGAATAGGCCCACTACGCCCTCTTCTAAAATATGAAGCATCCCATAAGCAGGCAGTTCAGCTCATATTATTCCTCATTATCTCCATATAGGTTTGGGGAACTAAAGGTAATGTTGCAATCCAAAAGAGCACAGTGGTCATACGCTCTTGGTTACAGGACCTGTGCCAGTATAGCATTCCATTCACATCCCCTCCAGGCATGTGGTGGGCTTCCAAAGAGCAGATGTGCCCATGCCAGGTTTCACTGTTGCCCACTCACCAAATTCACAGATCATTGCAAACAGCATACATCGCACAATTGATATGAACTGCAAGGCAAACGCACAGCTTGACTGTTAAATGCAGTCAGCCTTGTAGTTGTGATTTAGAAACTGAGGTCTTCAGAATCCTGATCAATGAGCAAATCAAGCGTTTAAAATACTTTGTGCTTTTATTACAAGATCATGAGATAGCAAAAACTTAATCTTACAAAGTAACTGAGCTCATAATGTACATGAATTTTTTTTCTTCCTAAACTCTATATGAATTCTTTCCTAAATTGCTTATCTTGCATAATTTTAATTGGATCCCAGAACACTATGACCTTGATCCAGCAGCTACAGTATCTCAGTGCTGTCATCTACAGTTATATATGGTACAGTACCTTCCAAATCTGTGAACCCTGGGAGATCGGAACTGTGTGCTGCGCAGGGCTATTTTTCTTATACCCAAATATTTTTTTTATTCAAGGTCTTCCAAGAGGGCTCTGATTGCTTTGGAAGGTCACCAAGACAAAGAACCCACTCCGGTAACCTGCTGAGTTCCTAATAAACTGCACTGCTGGCCAGCAGTTAGTTACAAGTGATATCCTGGCTTCACAATTAGTGTATGAGAATGTAAGCATGGCTGGAAACAAGAAGCATGCCTTGAGATTACTGCCACCTCCTGTGCATAAGTCAGGAAGGTCGCTCCAGCACTGAGCAATGCAAGAGACAACTCTGCAAATTCAGAGGATCTCTGACTCCAGTGGTACTGTGTGGCTGTTACTTTAATGGTTCTATAGCTCTCTGGAACAAAACTCACAGCCCTGTAGAAGTCACAAAAGCCTAGTCTTCAGTACAAAGGATTCTTACAGAAAACTGATCTTTCTCCCTTGGGATCACAAGAATATATTTTTTAAAAGAAAATCTGCCAGTTTTTAGAGATAACAGAATGTAACATGTGGCTGTGTATTGGGCTCTGTACTGTTTAGTGTGGTAGAGCTTTCATGGGGAACTCAAAAATAGTGACCCTGGGCGTTCTTTTCATATGCACACGCTGAAATAGTCCCTGCAGACTGAGATACTTGGCCATGGAAACAGCAAGGATACAAAAGGCCTTCATCACATAAATGCCTGAGCCATCAGGCTTGCTGCTATAGGGCCAGCAGCTTGGAAGCCCACACAGACTGAGCTCCCAACTCCTAAGCAGAAAGCTGGAAGTACTTATTTCAAGCACTGCTCACAGACACTTTGCCAGATAGCTGGGATCCCAGTTCTGAAAGGCCTGGGACGCACTCCTAGGATGCACGGCTCCTTCATGCAGAAAATCCTAGGCCAAGTGGTGCTGGGCTTGCAGCCAGCAGTTGCTTCAGTCTTTTCCTGTGAAAAATGCTTCATTTTGGGAACATCAATGGAAAGAAGGATAAATTGAAGACTTCTCATGAATGGAGTTGTGGTCAGCTCCACATTCAAACCTGCATCTCAGTTTCTTTTAAGATATTCTGGTCTTTGGAAATAGTCAGACACCAAATGCCACCAAGCCGACATTTTCAAGGCAAGAAACATCAATTGCAGAGGGGAAGCCTAGAGGAGGATGCACAGAGCTTTCCCTCACTGAGAAACTGCAGCCTCAGCCACCTTTTACACCTACGAAATCACAAGCTCTCTTATGTTAGCCCAAGCCCACAAAGCTGCCTGCCATGCTTCAGCATGACAGTACCTGAAGACCCAAAGGCACAATGCTGTCAGGCTGGGATATCTCCTCAGCAGTGCATCTCCAAGCATCGCAATCCAGTGGGCCCAGATGCAGGTGCATAAAACTACAGTGCACTTTGCCAGGCAGCAGAACGCTGCGCAGGATAGGCAGTACTACAAAATGCCAGACAGGGCCCCAGCCCACCATGACCGTCACAGCAAGGCTGGCTGTGCAGCCCACTGGGAAGCAGCATGTGGCCTCCTGACTGAAGGGGTGACTACCTCTTGATCACATTTACAGTTGATCAGAGGCAACTAATGCTTTGCTGGGCTCCTGGAAAGGAGTAGCAAAGGCAAAAGCAAAGCAGCTGGGATGGCAGCTGTGCTCACTGCTTCCATGTGTCACTCCATTTTTGGTGGGCACAGAAATTGCAGGCCCCTCTCCAGTGAACACCCCCTTCACTACATCTTGCTTTTGCTCTATTCCCCGCATCTCAGCACTGAACTTGGAGGGCAGTATACTGTCATGCTTTCTTAAAAAATGCTTTTCTTGATCCAGCCCATTCTTTGACCTGCTAGGAAGCCTCAGCATTGGCCACACAGGTTCTTCAATCCTCTTTGTCAAATCATCCAGAGAAAGCCCTGGCAGCTCTGCCTGCACAAAGGCTGCAGGAGCAAGCTTGCTGTCAGTAAACCTTCAATTTTTGCTCTTCATCTGGTTTCTGCCACAACACACATCCATAAAGGTTTAGTCCCTGCTGTGGTATTTTTGTACTTGCAAACTGTAGGACACCAGACAGAAGATAAATGGAGGCAACCTTTCCCCTCCGCCTTTTCTTTTCATTCTGAATCTCAGAAAGGTCAGATTTGGATTTAAATTTTCCTGCGCAATGTTTTGGCTTGGTTTGTATTTATTCCAAGTGAATTCACCCATTTCTTCTGAGGAATAAAAGGTCATGAAACCACTGAGTTCTCTCCCTCCTAAAAAGGGTACTTTCTTCTAGGGAGTGAATTACCAATGAAACCAAGAAAAAAAAAATTAAGCAAAAAATATATTTTGTTCCCATTGGGCAGGTGGAACTGTAATCACAGCTGAGTGTAATTAGAAAATCTGTAAGGATACCACTACTTTGCATCAATTTTAAAGCAACCCGTTTAATTTGGTTGATGAACTCAAGGTAAGAAAATAAAACTTGTAATTTTTCCTGTTTGTTTATTTAAAAAAAAAAAAAGGTTGTGTTTCTTTCTGCAGTATTTATTTGTCTATGCAGCATTAGGAGCCGGCTAGTTTTGGAGACTGGAAGAACAGAGGACACAGAAGGGAGGGTTGGATCACTTCATACACAAAATCAATCCATATTAGCCTTCAGCTATGGAGGAATGAGAGCATCCAGAATTGAACTTTTAGCTCTGACTGAAATGAATAACTGTTCAAAGCCAAGTTTTTGGTTCATTTACTTCACTTGAGTTTTCTTGCTTTGTTTAGTACAAGAATTTATCATGTCATTTGAAATGTAAACATATCTAAACTTATTCTGCCAGAATAAAACAGAACTTCTTCTGTATTCATTTACTGTAATACGCTGCTTCCTACCCATGCTTTCAACAGAAAATCATCTTGGTTCAAATGTTTTAAAAGAATTTTTGAAAAGGCAAAATGCCTTCCAACACCACTTTAAGAACTCAGTAGCAATGAAAAAAAAAAGTACACGGTTCTAAATATCTTAAGGATGAATCCTTAATGCTGTGTACCTGTCTTTCTCTATGAGAGGACCTAAAATTTTGTTACCAGTTATTGTGTTAAATCCTAGTTAAGATGCTTGATGAAAACATGACAAGTAATCACTTGCATTTATCTACATATTTCTACTATTTTATTAAGAACTGCTATCTAGTCAAAGTCAAATGCTGAAATAGTTGAAGTCCCAACTCAACTCAAAAACAACAAAGTTCTAAAGAAATCAAATTAATAATAATTTACAGGCTCAAATCATTTGACTGATTTTGACAATCCTCCTGATTTAGCTTTTGGAATATTATTCAAACCTCAGTGAGGTGATCTGCCCTCTACTGAAGTAGTCTGAGTTGCATTTGTATGGATTTCAGGAAAAAAAGAGGAACTAAAGTTACTATTTTCTTCTCTCTTTATTTAAAGCAGAACTAAAGGTAATAAGTGTAAGATTTCAGCTGCTACATAGGTGATGCTGTTATTTTAGATACAGTTAGATAGGTAAATCAATAGATTGCATATTTGTGCATTTATCTGCACTTTACTACTATCTGTTTTTTACTGAGATGGTGAATAAAGAAAAGAAAGAAAATCAGGAATAACATTTGAGATCATTTCTTCCTTGTAAGCTTTCCACAGGAGCTCTGGAAAAGAGATGGGACACTCAGGGCTGCAGTGACAGTAGCATAGTAACCTGGAGGTCACAACTGCAAGGTGTGAATAAGAAGCTCTCCGATAAAGGTGAATTCCTGCAGCTTGGCCTTTGCTATTATTAAGCTCATTCAAAATAAGCTAGTAGTAAATGAGGTAACTTTGGTAACATTCACAGGAGAGAAATGCAGACTGCATTTTTTACAGATGCTGGAGAAAACTGGACATACCTGTGCTGCATGTCAACACATTCTATGAAGCTGAATGAAACTACTGCGCTAGGACATGCTCTGGAAGTGCCTGTTCTCTCCACTGACTGCAAAGACAATGTAACGTGAATCATTCAGGTACAGATATGGTATTCCAAGCTGTAAATATATCAAATTAGAGGAGGTGAATTTCACTCCCAGTCTCTTACTGCCTCATTGATTAGGAAACAAGTGTAAATAATTTGGCACCCGTTTAATGAATGCTTCACTTCCTTGAGTACATGCTCCAACCCTGGATGAAGAGACCTTAGGGAGCTATCTTTTGTTTACAGGCTCAGCTGGTGTTTTGAAAAGGGAAATATTAAATTAGGTGTATTTCCAGGAGAGTCTGCTGTTGAGATTGATCAAAGGTATCACAAGGCACAGAGAAAAGGGTTAAGTACATAAGCCTTCATGGGACAGACTGAACAGAGAGGACAGCCAGCCAGTTGTGATTACTATTAAAGAGAATCTTCTGGAGAGGGAATCAGCTAAGATTTTTAGGGAAGATTTAAGCTGAGTGCAGCACCTGCTCAGGGGGCGGACAAGAATTAAATAATAAATGAAAATAATGCCAGGTCTCCTCTTTCTATTGAAAGAGGAGCGAAAATAAAGGGTGCAAACAAAGCTACAACTTTCCTAGGAACTTCTCATTATACTAATTATGGAAGGACTGGTTTCTCTCTCCTTGTAAGCACATGATCTTCCTGTTTCTGATTAGGCCTGTCATGTCAAGACTTCTGCACATGATGAATTTGAAGCATGGGATACTCCATTGGCTCCTATGGGACTGTACACATCCAGAAAGTTAAACGAATGCACAAACATTTACAATGGCCACGGCCTGCAGATGTAAACTGATGGGGTTCTGAAACGTTACGTATGTACTTCCTATAGTCACTGAAAAAACATAACCAGAATCCTAAGACATTTAAATTATACCACAAGAAAGAGTAAATAGTAAATACAGCTGTGAAAATACGCATGCTGTTGAAATATCAAACTGGAATACAATGCCACACTTAAAGCCATATGCATCATTTAAAGTCTAGTACACTGCCAGCAAGTGAGAAGTTATGGCTTTTGCAGTGAAAAAAAAGTAAGTGGTTATAAAACATTAGGTTTGCAGTAGACAGGGACTGTTTTTTCATGAAGCACTGGTACTTCAGTTAGCAAACATTCTCTCGGGGTGCTGGTGGTTTGCTTGAGGCATTGTGTCTATATTGCCTTGCATGGCAGGAACTCCAATCAACCTGTCCATCACAGTAAGGTTACAGATTATTACAGATTACACAGTGCTTTATAAACAGTTTACAGCAGAAAAAAAAAAGCAAATGCTCTACTAGAAACAGGAGCCATGTGCATGTCCAATTGTTTGTTCTGAGATGCAGATGTTTATAATAGCAAGAAAAAGTTTAGCAATGAACAAACCAAAGACGGACTGTTTGCTGCAATTTAAAAAAAAAATGTATCAATGAAGCATGAGGTCAGTGTTTAGTTCTGCTTGCAATGACTGAAACCTCCTAGGAGCAACGTTTGGAGATGCTTATGGGAAAACTTATGTTTAAGAACAGATTAGTTGGTAGATTATTAGCTTAGTACACAGCAGATGTGGGTACTTGTTTTTGAGAAGGATGCAAAATGCCGAAGCAGAGATTTCCTGAGCACATTTGAAATAACATGGGCATAGGTAATGACCAAGTGGCACCCTGATACTTCTCTTTTCCATAGAAATTCAGAGTAATACCCACACCCACACTTTCGTGGCCTGGGATCTATCACAGCTGCCAGGTTGTCCTCTCTGCTATTTGTGCCCCTGATTTTCTTCTCTAGGTATAGGTAAAAACACCCTGGAGATCCTTGAAAAACAGGTGCAACATGAGGGAAAACGATTTATCTACCTTTTATCATAAAATGATAGAATGGCCTCAATTGAAAAAGACCACAATGATCATCTAGTTTCAACCCCCCTGCTATGTGCAGGATTGCCAACTACTAGACCAGGCTGCCCAGAGCCACATCCAGCCTGGCTCTGAGTGTCCTACCATCTGTATCCAGTTTACAGATGAAGCTAAATTCTGCTGTGGGCTACAATGACTAGGGCACAAATTCCCAGCAGAGCTGCAGGAGGAATCATAACCATGTAACCCTGGTAGCCTGGAATAAGAAAAAGTAATCACTGTAGCAAAATCCAGCTACCACTGTAATGGAGCAGCATGGAGTAGGCATTCCCACCCCTTAGGGCTTGATATAAATTTTGAAGAAAGTATGCATTACTGCCCAATAAATCAGAATTGAAGTTTTAAAGAGCAAGCCCTTTAGAAGAGACTTCTTTGCTTAAAAATCACAGAAAAGGGGGAAAAAACAAACAAACAAACAACAAAAACCTGAAGTAATGGCAGTTTAACTCCTGCAGCTCAGTGATAAACTAAATAATTATCTAAGAGGAAATGAGTCTCTAAATATATGATCAGAAAGAAAACTTATTTTTGCAGGAAGAAACTGGTGATTGCTTTCCAAGAAAATTTAAAAGCTGCTTTGAAAAAATAAAAGCTACCATATGTGATGATAGTATTAAAGAAAAACAGAACCTCAAGGACAGATTAAGAACATTTACTTTCCTTTCACATAAACACACACACACACACTCTCCCATATACGCTCTCCATTAATGACTGATGTTTACTGAAAGTCATTTCAATAAATCTGTCTCCCTTCCTATCTAAAAACTTTGATCCTCAAATGCAAACCCAATTCTAGCACTGATCATTAAGGAATCTGAGACGGCCGTGCCCAAGCACCTCTGCAGAAACAACTGCAGCTGTTTAAAGATACTACCGCTACTCAGCTGTTTGGTGCTGCTTCTCACCCCACCCACACATACATATATATATATATATCAATCATATATAGGTCATTTGGGAATTCCTCATATGCTTCAGTGCACAGGCAGCTGGGGCGGTGTAATCTGCTTCTGCAATGCTTGTCTGACTGTGCTCTTGGTGAGCAGGATCTGACTCATTCAGCTCAAGGTTACCACAGTGGGTAACACCAGATCTTTTGCACCACCCGTGCTGGCTCTCTACTTCAAGCCTTTTTTCCCAAGGAGTTATTTAGAGGCTCCTCTCAGAGAGTAGAAATTCAAGCAATTTTCTATACTTCTTTCTCATAGCCCTTATTCAGCTGTAAGCAGATTCACCACAGAAAGTTCATGCAAACCATTTTTTAAGCTGCACTAAAGCTCGATGGAGAGACTGACACAAACATGTTAAAAATTACAGAGAATTGCGTTGTCATACAAACTGATCTGAGCAACAATGAAACACAGTAGGATCTGCATGACATATTGGAAGGGAGATGCTAACTCTACTCTGTCCAACAAAAGGTGCCCAAAACTGGAAACATTTTCCCACTGCAGAAAGTGTTACAGGAAATTTTGCTTACCTGCTGAAGGGAGAAGAAAACAGGACTGAATAACTGATAGCGAAGACTCCGTAGCAGGTATCCAAGAATCACATGAAAACTCTTGACAGGTGATATAATTTGGTTAAAAAATTCATCCCCTTGTAAAAAAGGCAGCTCTGCAATAAAGAGATGAACAAAAAGTAGCATCGCACATACTGTTATTCTAGGAATTGTTTCTCCATTGTGCACTAATAACCTCACACACATCACAAACAGAAGTGAAACAACTGCAATACTCAGTTCACATATCTCATATCACATATCACTGATATAAGTAAACATTTCTTTAATTTTCCCTTCCCTGCTTCGTTTTCCTTGAGAGGGAACCAACGCATTGACACCAGCTCTAAGCGCTGTGTTTATCACCGAAGTGGAGAAGCCACTTTCCATTAGCATACGCACTGCAAGCAGTTCTGCATCCCAGAACAAAAGAAAGGTTTGAAATAAGCTTCATAGTCTGCAATGATCACCACCTTTGGAGAGAAGCTGTCCTGTAAGACCTGGAAAAGTATTACATGCCTCAATTAAAAATAATGGAAATTCTTGCTTTAGGGCTTCAAATAAAGGTTGTAATGTCTGTCTGCCCGTCCACAGCTGGTCTTGAAGTGAGATGCTTACAAACACAATAAACAACCCTAGAGTGGATATCTTCCTGCAGCATAGAATTTATTCTTATGTGACTTCTATCCCAATATAATCACCTTCATAATTAAAAGACTTTTTTTTTTTTTTAATCACTGGCCAATATATACCAAAAGTACTAAATAATAATAATGATGATGATAAAAACAATTAGAGATCTACATATACACAGACTCAGCACACACATGCATACACATTCTGAGTTCAGTTTTTCAGCACACTGTACGTGGCATAGTCATTTGTACCAGCTCCACCACACTGCTAAATATAACTAGCAGCAATATACGGATTTCATTCTCAACTCACTTAAACCTGGGTATAAAACAGTCCAGCTTTAGTTTCCTAGTATCGCATACACACTTTATAAGTCACTTCTACGTTTTAAAAAGTTGTACTTCTTACTAACATTAATCTTCTGTGCCTTTGAGAGAACTAAATAATGACAGAACCACAGAATGGCTTGCGTTGAACACAACCATCATTTAGTTTCCACCCCCTGCTATGTGCAGGGTCACCAACCACCAGACCAAGGCTGCCCAGAGCCACATCCAGCCTGGCCTTGAATGCCTCCAGGGATGGGGCATCCGCAGCCTCCTTGGGCAACCTGTTCACCAACCTGTGTGTGAAAAACTTCCTCCTACTATCCAACTTAAACCTCCTCTGTCTCAGTTTAAAACCATTCCCCCTTGTGCTATCACTATCCACCCATCCTTAATCTTTGATCACCTCACATTCTTGTCTTCTGTCTGTTCTAGGGTATATGCTTCCACTTTCTCTTTTACCAAGTCAGAGGCCTTAGTTTAAATAACTGTGTACAAAGCCAGGAGTTTTACACTGCAATGTGTTAAGGAATGCACACTCAAGCAGCTCAGCACTCAGTCTGCAGAATGGGAGAAATTATCTAAGCTTGAAAGCTTGTAAGGAAGTGGCACTCTGCATTCATGGGGGGCAAGGTAGAGAAACCGGCCTTTTCAAGCAACACCCATACATCTGAAAGATGACAAATGAACATATTTCATGTGAGATATTTCACATAAATGCTTAAAAAAGGTAAGAACACCATACACTGCTTATGAACATCCTATGCCAACAAAAACTCCTGCAGACATAGACAGGAGTTGTCCAAATACATGAAAAATTTTGTTAAGCAAAGCAACCTGTATTAGGGCAGAATTTTCTTGGTTTGGCTGGCTTTGCAGTAGAAGCACCTGCCAAAACCACAGCGGTTAGGACACAGACGTCCTTCAAAGCCACAAACAGCTCAGCTCTGCTGAAAGTGAATATCATCACAACACCTCTCTAAAATAATAGGTGTTGCCATGAATTTCGGCTTTATTTCCACCCTGCTTAAAAGACAAATTGAAAAAAAAAAAAAAAAGATTCTTAAAGTATATGAGAATTCCCACTGAGATTGGACAGAAAGTGCAATAAGAGCTATTTGGTTCACAGATTAGATGCTTACAGGTATGAAAATACTGTTGTGCATGGAGATTCTGCTTTGACACTTCAGTGCCAGCAAAAATAAGAACATCTTCCACACTGCCTATAACCTGTGGTAATTTGATTAGCTGGAATAACAAACCAAAACCATACCACAATTTTTTAGGACTGGGGGGGAGGAAGTACTTCAGGGCAAAGATCCTCAGCCATTTTGATTGATGATCAAAGCTCAGCCATTCCTTAAATGTATGAAGCATCATTTCTTTTTAAACTTGTGAATTATATTTATTTTGCTCTCATCCAATATCCTGCACATTTCAACCTATTTATAGGCTCAGAGGAAATGGAAAATGAGAATGCATGAGGAAAGTAAATAAATAAATAGAAAGATCAGCACACAGTGCTATAGTATGGAAGTTGTAGGACATTTTAACTAAGTGTATTTGTTGCACCAGTGGAGCAATCAGTGTGTTATTTGGGCAGTAGAGCCGATCAGGAATTCATACAGCTTTTTATTACCAAGCATTGATACCATGCCTTAAAGCAGGCACTTCCCAGAGGTGAGTTTTAGAATCAGTTTTGTTTCCTAAGGCACAGCATCACTTACAGACCCCCAGGCCTTGCTGCAGGGAAAGCAGGAACAAAAATCCTTGATGACAATCACTGCGGATGACCCCAAACACTTTTGCAGACACAGCCATCACTTTGTTGCTTTAGGGCCTGAGATCTCCCAGCCAGCACGGAAGGAGACACGAGCTCAAAGGAATGCAGATCCCAGAGCACACTCACAGATGCAGTACAAACATGGACTAATGTAGCTGCCCTCTTTATCTACATGACTGGCTTAGTCGTGAATGTGAGTAAAACTAATTCTTTCCCAACAACAGGAACTTGTTTGGCCAAGGGAATGCCGGCTCCTACTTAGGACTGACAGCAGGGGCTGCAGAAAATCCCTCTTTCAGTTGAGCTGACACAGTTGCCCAGTGATGCCTCTGCTTAGCCAGCTGCAGTCAGAGGAATCAGTCACGGACCAATTTGTGGTATTACTGTGCACGTCATTCAACTCAGCTATGAGTGACTGTCAAATAACTCCCAACATTTCAGTAACTGCAGTATGCAAGGTGCTAGCCAAGAACCAACATGCTAGATGGAAACTGATTATAACTATAGCCAGCCTGGCATGATTGAGGTCTGCTGCCTGAAAACCCACAGCAGAGCATTACGGGCCTTCTCCTGTTGAAAGATGTTCTGACCAGACTGACCAGGAGGAACATTGGTGGCTGGAAATGCAAAGGCTGGGTCACTGCTTCAGTTCTGTAAGCTCAGGTAAATCAAGAAGAAGCGTGGAAAGAAGAAGGCACCGATTTAAAAATACAGTTCATACTCTCCACTTTCTCTGTGTGTGGGTTCTTTTTGGTGGTGGATAAGTAGCATTTCAGTCTATGAAGCAACTGGCATTTGTGCTCTCGATATTCCCCTCCCTGGCTATTTAATAAACCAGCATACATCTGGTCCCAAGCACCAAAACCACATGGTTCAACATATGCTATAGCTGCTACCCAGGCACCCTCATTTACTGTTTTTTCAGACTAATGCGGGATTTGTAGGTAAAAAAAAAGATGTATGTATTTCTTTTTGCCAGAGATAAAAGATAACTGTACTTCCTCTGCACTTTATTTAAAGATTAATTTTCTGAAGGGAAAAAATGTCACTTTAATTAAGCTAGAATTCAAGCCACAAACTCAAATTATAACAGAAGGATGAATTCTGATGAATTCTGGCTACAGAAATCAACAGGAAAACCCTTGTTGACTTTCCCTGGAGCAACATTGTACCCCAGACAAATAATGATTGTTTTTAATACTGACTTCTTGTAGCTGAAATCTTTTTGCTGACCATCTGTTTCTGTTCCACATATCTTTCTGAGTTTTCTGCTGCAGTAGTGACAATCTGCTTGTGCATCTCCGAGGATGTAAACTTAGGAAGACAAAAACCCAAAAGGAATATCTTCTCCTCAAAACCCTCGGTGTTACCCTTATAAGAAGTTGGAGGAAAACTCATAGAAAGCTCTGCACCAAAATGGGTCAAATTTTATTCCGTGGAGACAAAGGAAAATATAGAATGTGTACCAAGAACAAGAACAAAACGTAAGGGGCTATTAATAAAATTAACTTAGTCCAAAAATATCAAAAGATATCCTCTCTTTCCTTAGATTGCAACCTTTTCCATCCTGAAAACTCCTGCTTAAAACCTCTTTCATTCTTTGTTTGCCATCCCTTAAATCTCAAGCACAAAGACTAGCTGACAGCACACACCAAAGTGGTGCTTTCATGGGGTTCTGCCTGTTACATGCGGGACCAATTCCACCAGAAAAGAGCCAGACCGCTGAAATTGAGCTGTGCAGTAAATCCCCTGATTTGTTACCCAATAATGCAAATGTTTCATCAACATTACTTAAGCAAAAACACTTCATAAGCGAAGCTGCAAATGCAGCTGCACCACTGCCAGTGCTCTCATGGTGCCAGCAGGCTGTGAGTTGCATCAGAGGTAAAACAGCATCACATTTGTGAAGAGGTGATTGCCACATGACAAAACAGTCCGAAAAAACCAACCCAAAAGCTGTGCTCCTCCAGATCATAAATGTCATTGCAGACTGCCATTTCTAAACCCTTCTGTACTGTTCTGGTTTTGCTTTTAATGACTACTATAACAAAATGCTTAGCGTCTGCAGAAAAAGACTGGAAAATCCTATTCACGTGAATCATTTCTATCTATGTTCATATTTGATGTATTACTGCTTAGGTTTTACCAGTTGTCCATTTATAGAACTCCCATCAGAAAATCTGTGTCCCACCATGATTCTAATACAAAAAATAAGGTTCAGGTAGCTCAAGGTGGAGTTCTTCTGGGGAACACCACATTTAACTAAACACTGTTAGCTCCCTTCAGCTTTCTCAGGTGAAACAGAAATACCTTTCCCATGCTTCCATTAAAGCACTCAAAGTTATGAATTTTTGACACAGCCTTTGAATGGTTTTACTAGGAAATGATGCAGTTGAGTGTAAGCAAGAGAATATAATGAAGGATTTCAATGGAGCACCTGCTGGGTCTCCTTTGCTGGCTCAGTCACCTAGGGCAATCTTGTCGATAGGGACCATCACCTCATTTACCCCTTAATCTGAAAACTGAGCAAATTAAGGCAAGGTCCAACATTCCCCTCAAAGAAGAGAGGCACTTTGCTTCAGCTGCATCTTCTTTTTAGTAAAGCATCCATTGTTTACCTCCATTCTCATTCCTAAACACTGCAGCGAGGTAGAAAAGCAAAAGAAAGACATTTTCATCTCCCTCAGCTATTCATAAGCCATTCTGCCCACAGCCCACCTTGCCCTGACACCCCTGCCAGCCCCATGCTCAGCCACCAGCTGTGGAGGTGCCAGAGCACATTTACAGCAGCTGCACCTAAAACATATGTGAAAAGCATTCACAGCAAAAAGCAGCTTCCTATGAGAACAACAGCAGGCCTCTACGGAGGGATTAAGAGACTGATGGATCCCAGACAACTGAGAGTCATGAGC